AGAATTTTTATTATTTTGAATGTAAAAACAAAAAAACAACCACGGGAAAATTCGACAAGTGTTCGCCGAAGGGGTCAAATAAACCCCCCCTTTGTGAAAAGGTTCCGCCAAAAAAAAAAATGAATTAAAAAACAAAAAACACCTGAAAAAAGGGCCAGGTAAAATTGGGGTTTAAAAATATTTTTTACCCGTTAAAACCCAAATTGGGGGGGGGGGGGAATTTTGTTCCTAAAGCTAGCCCAATAAACCGGCTCCAATTATCAGAATTATATCTTAAAATTTCCTTGTTACTTTGGTCTTAACGTGAAATCTGCCATGTCAACATAGATCTTTCCCTCAACAGCGCGAAGGAAACCCGTGAAAAGCAATTTGTTGCGGTTTCATGTTGGTGTAGTCTGGTGTAGTCCTTTGGGGTCCGTGGGGAGAGAGACGTCTGAATTACGAGCGTTATAATGTTGTCCGGTGACGTCGCCTACTTTTGCGAATATGGTAGGTACTTTCTGATTGGCTTTTACCTTTCCAAAATAGAAAACCTTTTATTATTGCCTGAACGCGCTAAGGAAAACATCCGGTTTGAAATAGTGTTGACAGGCTAAACGAGACTCATAATTGCTGTGTGAAACGTGACCTTAGAGTTAGTCTCTTATATTCCGGGCTTCTACCATAGTAGCAACTGACGAGGAACCTTTTAATTCGGAAACTGCAGTCTCTCTTCTCCCTTCATGACCTCTAAATGTACTACCAGTACATTCGCATAGACTATTACGCTAAAACAAAATAATTGCTAACGGAGGAACTGTGGGACATCGCACTGAAGACCACAGGAACCAAATTACTCAATGTGCATGAAACAAACCAGCTTCATGATCTCTAAATGTTGGATCAGAGCGGCAAACGTAAGATTTTACTCCTTGTACTGCATAACCTAAGCGAAAGAAAGAAAAAGGGAGCCTCTGTAGTTCAAGCTAACTCCAAGTCCAAGGTCGCGTTTTACTCTATCACGAGCTTATGAGGCGTGTTTAGGTCACGTTTCATACTATCACGAGCTTATGAGCCGTGTTTAGCCTGTGAACATTTCATTTCAAACTGGAAAAGTTTAACGACCCCGTACATTTATTCTGGAGGCTTTATCATCAAGCTTCACGGCGCTCAAAACGCAGAACACTTTATAACGGCCATATACATGCTGCTGTTCACTGTTCCATGACTTATAGCTGCCAAAACTGCAAACCCAACACTTTCACGCGCAAACTGTATGACTGTACATCTCATGCAGACTGGCTGTTCACAGCAACAGTGTTAAGTTAACTTGTACATATGAAGACCTCTTTAGTTTTGTATCCAGTAGCTTAAGTAAGTCAGAGTTAAAGACTGTTTCATAAAGTAGAATTGCTCCTGGGAACCTCGTGAACAATGATGATGCAACTATCTCCCCCAATGATGAAAATCGTGACATCGATATTCGACGAGCCACACTAGGGACCTTAAGCGACACACCGTTGACGTCTCGCACGGCAAAAATAGTATTTTGTCTCTTTCAGTGCCCAGACTCGACCAATTCGTACCAGGAAATAAAACAGAGGCATTCAAATTCGTTCGTTGAGTGCGGAAACGTCTGAGCTGGTTGCTATTCATGACGTCCGGGACGTCAGCGTTCTTGTTGCTTAAGCTTGTCGCTATTATTTTAAGAAACCCTGAAGAATTCTTCGAGTCTTCCCTCGAAGCAACGTTTGTTGAGTTGTACTTTCACGATTTGTACTTTCACGATTTGTTTAGTTTTCAGCAGATGCCTGAAGGAAAGGCAAAGAAAACCTAATCTATAGCATGAGGATCGACTAAGCTGTGCGTAGCTTTTCGCGTTTTCATTCATGTACAGCAAAACCAATTTCGCACCAAAAAGTAGTCTAAATTTAGGATGAAAAGAGTAGATTCTTGGTACAGTCACACTGAAGTATTCAAAATAGTTCATCCACGTTAAGCGTGCCTGTGTTAAAAATTTGCATGCAATTTGTAACACTTCTTTTAATGACTGTTTTGTTTAAGCTTTCCTTGAAATCTTTGGCCTTTGATGCGTTGATTACACCAGACAAGGAAAGTGGCTTAAGCCGCCTGCAATCAGCTTGTATCGAAGGAGATGTGGAAACTTTTACGGCGATCCAGAGTAACAGTCCCAGCAAACTGGACAGTTTTGTAGCTCTGAATGTCAAGATCAGAGCCAACTCGTTATATTTTCCTAGTAAATCCGTGTGGGCCGTGTTGATATTACAGCAGTCCCCAAGACATAGGCAGATCTTCACGCGTGTCGAAACAATCTGTCAGGAGTTTCACTCTCAGTCCCTGCTTCACTTGACTGCAAGGGAAGGACAGGTTCATCACCTTCGAAGACTGTTGGATTGCGGCGCGCTTGTTGATGGTTTGGAGAATGATTGGGATGAACCACAGCAGACACCTCTTATGTTGGCTGCCAAATTTAATGACGAGGAGGTTGTAGAATTTCTTATCGAAAGAGGTGCCTCTCTAGAAATGCGAGATGATCAGGATCGCACTCCATTTCATTATGCTGCTGAAGGTGGAAAAGTGAGAAATCTTTTACGACTGATCGAGCATGGTGTTGATGTTTTGCAAAAGGATGAACATGGTTACTCAGCTTTACATTTGGCTGCTTCAAACGGCCATACAAATTCCGTTCGGCTGCTCATCGAACATGGTGCTGACGTCAATGAATTTACGAGTTCCTTAGATGAGCCTGGGTACACTCCTCTCATGTTAGCTGCTGAAAAGGGAAACCTGCAAACTGTTCAGGTTTTGCTACAAAATGCAGGAGACCCACACAGAGGAAATGAAATGGCATGGTTGCCATTGCATTTTGCCGCTAAAGGAGACCATACAGAAATGGTTAAATTCCTTCTTGAACATGATGGAAATGTGTTAGCTGCGACGGCCTGCGGGAAAACCGTCCTTCACCTGGCCACAAGGTTAGATCTGGTAATGATTCTTGTCTATCGTGGAGCTAACATCCAAGCTAAAGATATCCTCGGAAGAACGCCGTTGCATGTGGCTGCTGAAAAGGGACAAAGCGACACAGTGAATTATCTTCTAGACCATGGTGCTGATGTTAACTCTAGAGACAGGAATGGATTGTTGGCCCTGTACTGTGCCCTAAAAGGAGGTCATGCTACCACAGCTAAGTTTCTGATGGACAGAGGCAGCGAATCCTTGCTTTCAAATGATCCAAACCTATTGGGGTCTTATGAAGCTGACTTGTTACAATCCTCTGCCAGAGAGGGTTTAGTAGATATTGTAGAATTCCTTTTAAACAGTGGTGTATATGTGGATGCCGTCCCTAGCAACGGTGATTCCTTGCTGACTCCTCTTGAGGAAGCGGCAAGCACTGGACATTGTGATGTGGTGACTATACTCCTAGAACAAGGAGCCGACATTAATGGGAATGTTAGCTCCAGAAGAGAACGTCTACGAGAAAGGCAAATAGAGTCGTTCTCATGGGAGGATAGATACTACTTGGAGAACATATGTCCCTTATTTGCCGCCCTGCACGCAGGCCAAGGTGAAGTGGCTAAACTTCTATTGGAGCGTGGAGCTAATATTTCAAACTTAAAATGTGGTTCACTCCAAGCTTTAAGCGATCTTGCTGCTGAGCATGGTCTTTTCGATGTTCTTAAATTACTTGATAATTACGCACTCGACGACATGGAAGGTTACCGTTTAAAAGGTGGAGATACGATTTTAACGTCGGCTGTAGGTCGCATGGATTTTCCGTTAGTTTCTCACCTTCTGCAAAACGGCATGGATGTAAATAAAAAGAATGAATTTGGAAATACGGCCCTCCATATCATTTTCCTCAGAGGAATGCAAGATAAAAAGCCTCAAAAGGCTATGGAAATGTTTAAGCTTCTTGTTTCTTTTGGTGCAGATATTAACGCCATTAACAACACATTTGAAACACCACTGCATTATGCAGTAGATTTTGAAGCAGAGGAATGTATTAGCCTTCTACTTGAACTCGACTGTAAAATAGACTTTGAAGTCCCCCTCAAAGAGTCTCCACTTATTCTTGCAACCTTGAAAGGGAAATGCAAACTTGTTGAAGAGTTGCTTCAGTGCGGTGCAGACGTCAACCAAAAATGCGGTAGAGATGAACAAACACCGTTACATGCCGTCGTAAAAAGCTTCAATCGCCCTGCACTTGCGCAGATTATGTTACTACATGGTGCTGATTTGGAAACTAAAGACTTTGTAGAAGAAACACCTCTCACTAAAGCATTAGAGATGGTAGACGAGGAACTGGTTGAAGTGTTTTTGAACTGGGGTAGCACTGTTAATACAATAAACAAATTTGGTGAAACTACCCTTATGAAGGCCGTAGAACATCCTAAAGTATGGATCGTGAAGACTTTACTAGAACATGGAGCCTCAGTTAATGCAACCGACCAGCGCGGAAGATCGCCTCTTCATCATATGGCTTCACACGCTGTGGAAGTCTGCAAGCTTCTTCTAGATAATGGCTCTTGCGTCAATATTACTGATGACGACGGAGAAACACCTTTACATCAAGCAACGTATGATCCACAAATCGTGAAGATACTCCTTGATCATACTGCGGACGTGAGAGCTCTAGACAAAAAAAATCTTACTCCTCTGCATGCAGCTTCTTACGAAGGTGTTTGTAGATCTGTTGAGCTGCTGATTCAAAGTGGTGCTGATCTAAACGCTGCTGATAATCAAGGCTGGACGCCTTTACACATTGCAGCTGCCGCTGGAAGATTGGATACTGTTAGGGTTTTGATTCAGAATGGAAGTGATATCGCAGCTGTCGTGAAAACTGGTAGAACTGCTCTTCATCTAGCAGGAAAACGTGGCAGGCGATCAGTTGTTGAATTGTTGATTAATCATGGAAGTGACATAAACTCAAAAGATTACAGGGGGCATTCAATTCTTGGCGCGATGTTTAAATGCAGAAGCTCAGAAATGTTGGACTACGGTAACTGGGACATTGTAAAGTACTATCTAGAACACGGCGGTGACAAGTTCGCTGTCGATGGCGAGACTGGTCGAACAACTCTTCACTTTGCTGCAAGCCATCAGTTTCTTTCTACTGTTGACGAACTGTTGGACCAGCAATTGGCACTCGAGGCGAGAGACAAGAACGGAGAAACTCCTTTACACAGGGCAGTTGCAAGTGGAACCGACGAAATTATAAAACATCTCGTGGACAGAGGAGCTGATGTACGTGCTGTTAACAAAAGAGGGCAGACACCTTTACTTGTTAGTTTAGCCCGTCATAGGAGTAATCTTTTACTTAAACACAAACCAAACGTGCAACAAGCAGATGGTGATGGTAACACACCCCTTCACCTTGCTATATACAATCCAAGAAATGCACAAGAAACTTTTTATGATCCGTTGCCTTTTTCTACAGACGATGTAAGCTTTCTGTTAAAAGCGGGTGCCGATATTCATTCCCGAGATAAGCAAGGAAACACCCCACTTCATGTTGCAGCCGCGGAAGATAGATATGAGATTGCAGAACTGCTTATCAAGGAAGGCAGCAAAGTTAACTCAACGAACGTACGTGGACAAACGTGCCTGCACATGGCGAGTTATTCTGGTGCGCTTGATATTGTGGAGATGCTCGTTGCTTATGGAGCAGATTTGAATGTTGTTGATGAACTGGGATGTACACCTCTTCACGTTGCATTGACCTCTCATCGCTTTTGGCTTGTAGAGCCTCTTTTGAATCATGGTAGTAATCCTAAAGCAGTGGATTATAAAGGTTCCACTCCTCTCCACGTGGGCTGCTGTTATGACGATGACAATGACGAGTTGATGGAAGTCGCTACCAATGAGGGCTACTGTTTTGTTTCAACAGATGAGTGGGTGTCATTGATGATCAATTATGAAAGGTAAACTATGTACTAGTTGTTTTGATGAACAACGCTTGTAAACTATTCCATTCGTGATTGTTAGAAATTCAAACTCTTGATCTTGTCATGAGACAAAGGAAGTCAGGGAAGTGAAATGATCATTTTACCTAATTGATTTAATCCCACTATAAAGAAGGGGTTAGTTTATAAAGAAGCTTTATTGTTACGTCGTTGGGGGTTGTTGGGTTATAACCACTTGACAATGTGGCCATGTTGGTGGACCAAATAGTGTAACAAATTTTGCAGACTTTGCATGAAAGTAGCACAGGGAAAGAAAATATGCAGAAGTAAACAGCTACTCCAAAAATTGTTGAGGTTTGTAGGTTCTTATATAACTCTCAATTTTCTCAGATAATCCTTTTCGGTTCTCCATAATGGATTGGCAAAAATCGGAAAATCGGCTTTGTACGCCGGCCACTTTTCAACTTGCAAAATTTAAG